TGATATGATTGATGATATTGAAAATGCTAAAATAGTAAAGGAGGAAGGGGAACATGTCCTATATATTGTGAAAAGATTATTACTCACCCCAAGGTAAGAATATCTATCTCAGCGTAAGAAAATATTTCATTCTCGATATAATGTTAATGACAAAATGCATGCATTGATCATAGACAATAGAAGTTATGACAATATTATACCCAGATCACTAGTGAGACACTTAAAATTGCACATAGAAACTCATTCAACACTATATAAGCTAGGGTGAATTAAAGAAGGCTCAACTATCACTATAACTGAGATATGTAGAGTTCTTCTATCAATTGGAAAAAATTATAGGGAAGAAGTTATTGTTAGTCATAGGTGCCTAGTGAGTCAATCACGTAAGTGATGACACGTGTGACTTGACACATAATTTTTTTACTTATTATATTTTAACATTTATCACTTTATATTGATTATTGCATATATATATGTATATATCATGATGTCCTTGGATTTGTGCAATGAGAATCAGATCATGATGAGATCACGATAATGAGACCAATTCATCTTTAAACACAAATCCTAAATAATCTCTATCATAGGTTACTCGAGAGAGTCATCGAGATAACCGGACAGACTAGTGTGCTGTATACCCGTCCATATGATGGATGCAGCTGATCTCATAGCTGCTCATGTGGGGACACTAGGGATACACTACAGGTGCTCATTGGAGAATGAGTTCACTAATTGATCTGCTTACGGAATGCTGGATGGTTGATGATACTTTATTGTCAGACAATGATTCCGTAGTCCTAGTGATGTATTTGGTTTTTAGACTTGAGACATCAAGGATATCCTATACGAGTGCTCCACTCTTTAAAACAGACTTATAGGTTTGGATGTCTCAAATCTAGTACAACCGGTCATCGAGAGTGGCAGTCAACCTTACGAGGGCTATTGAGCGTTGATAGAGGATCATCCACTATTAGTGTCATAAGAGGAATATCTCATGTGTTCTTGCTCAGACAAATCCCTGAACAAGGTCATTCGGATTGAGAGAGAAAAAGTTTTCTAGGAGAATCCGATTAGAGCGAGACTCGAGTAGAAACCGTATGGGTCTGACAACACCATACTCGGTATACGGTCTTTAAGATATTAGATGGATGAAGGACTATAAGTATATGGTAACTGAGGATAAACAGGTCTAATAGATTGGATTCCCTTGTATATTTTGGGGACTACGGCATAGTGGCCTAGTACATCCGCAATTGATGAGTCGAGTGAATTATTATGGAGATAATAATTTATTGAGTCAGAAGGAGTTCTGATAGATATGACTCACAGCCAGCTTGATATTGGGCCTAGAGGGTCATACACATATGGTAGGCGTTGCAATGAATATAGGTTCAAATATGAGATAACCATCGGAGCCTCTATCTTATTGGATATCCAATAAGCCCCTGAATTATTAGATCTTGTAGACGAGATCCAATAAAAGCTCATGAGAGATTATTGGATAGAGATCCACTAATCTAAGAGGCTTTGGTAGTTGGATGAAGATCTAATACCCAATATGGGAGGATCCATTATGGTTAAGTTGATAAGGGACCTCTATAAATAAGAAGAATTTAGTGGTTCATAGGCTGAGCCTTTTGCTTGCCTCTTCTATTCCCCTCCCCCCTCTCCACCTCAAAGCAGACCTGGAGTTTTGAGGAGCGTCGTCGCAACCCTACTGTATAGATCACCACTAGAGAGGAGGGTGCTTGACCTCCTTCACCCTCTCCTAGAGATCTGCAATGATTCAGGGATATACGATCTCCCTAGGTAACACAATCTATTCTATATATAGTTTTAAGTTTCGTAGATTTTTCGTACCAATCTTTACACAATGATGAATAAATCTTTGGGAAATTAAGGATTTTATTTTCTGTTCTTCCGCTGTGCATGTGATGTCGCTCTCAAGATTTCCCAATAGTTATGTATGGGGTAGTTGACATAGATGCATGCCATATACCACTTGGAAGATCATGACAGTATGATGTGAATACAACCCATATTGGAAGAAAGAATATCTATATATTCTGATCGAATGAGAAGAAGATTGTTATTCTACTGACTAACAAAAGGGGAGATGAATCCAATACTTCTAAAGTAGAGAGAAAGTCTCCTTTACCTATTTCCAATTCTATGCAGAAATTCATTGTCAATTTAAAAGAAACAAGAATACGTTATGCTTTAATTATAAAGAAAAAAAAAGTAACCTAAAACAAAGATTCCAAATAAAATAAAATTGCTATTGAAAAAATCCAAAGAGGTCAACCCTAAAGAGTTACTAGATGGACTTTCACATATGAAAAATATTCAATACCAAATTGATTTGGCTCTAGGAGCAACTGTACTAAATTTATCTCATTATCAGATAAACTCAAAAGAGAACGGGTACCGATGAGTTGATAAAGTTATGATATATTCAAGAAGGGATATAATCGAGAAAGTATGAGCCCATATGCAGTCTAGACTTGTTTAACACCAAAAAAGTTGGAAGTTACTAATATGAGGTAGTAAGAAGTAACTAATAAACATAGGAGTAAGAATGTGTTCAAGAAAGGAGATAAAATTATGATATACTTACGAAAAAAAGAGATTTTGCATGATCACTTACAATAAATTAAGTATAAAGGAATATGGTTATGGTCTTAAAAGAAAATCAATAATAGTGCTTATATGATTGACTTATTAGATGAATGGGGGTCTCCAAGATTTTCAATATTATAGATTTATATGACTATTTCTAAATAAGAATCTATCATAGTTTTCTCTCAAGTGGAGGGGATTAATATAGGGCAAACAAAAAAATAAATTTCAAGGATTATGATGATTTCTTTATCTTAAGGAGTCTATTTTCCTGCATATGTTAGTTGCTAGAATCTTTTTATAGTAATAATTTTTTATTTTCGTTTCCGTCATTATTTAAATCATATTTCTCCGGGTTAACGTAGAAATGAGAATTATTAAAAAAAATCTGTGTTAGGTTCACGTTGACTTCGTCGGTGTTGTCGTACTAACTTAACCCAAAAAAAAAGATTATCTTCTATGCTTCGACTGTGCGCTTGTTTGATCTTATTTTGTCTCCTATCGAGTCTGATTTGATATCAGTATAGGCTATTACGCAATAATTTTTGACTGCACGTATCAAAATAATAAAACATTGCTTAGCGAACACAGTTTGGCCAACTCATAATCGTTCTTTGAATTCATATATAAATAAGTTCGTAGAGGAAGATAAAGAAAATTAAAAGGAAGATGGAATCTGGAGAATGCCCCTAATAATTGCTTTAAAATACTCGATGTAAACCACATTATCATAATATCCGAGTGAGGCAGCTTCGTGTTGCATATAATTAAGAATTGGTACAACGAACTTTCTGTGGCAGTACACATATTTAGTTCCATGTGGCATGTTGGAATTTAATATGAGCATTAGTTTTAGGAGTCAAACTAAACGAATGGAACCCTTGAATCAGTAAATATGTTAGCTTTTCCATGAAAAGACCCTTTTTTTTTTTTTAGCTTTTCCTTAGGGTTTTTTATTTGGTATCTCATTTTCCTTTAGTACCCTAAATATCTCCGGTCATCATTAATATATATATATTTTTTTGTTCATCTTTCTCAATCACATTGGAACATCCTTCTTTCCCGAGGCTATGTTGACATAGTTTGAGAGATGGCTAAGAGCATAAGAGATAAAGAAGGAGATTAGACCATGAATGATGATAAAATTAAAATATTGAAGGCGAGGGAGGGGAAAGAGGTAACCATGAAAAGATTCTATTTTTTTAGTTTTTAGGAGTTATACTAAAAATCAAGGAAAAAGAGACATTAGTTTTAGGAGTCAAGAAGAGAAAACTTGAGCCCGTAAATATTTTAAGATGATATTTATCTTGAATAAATTAGTTTATTGATGATTCCATGAAAAATCTCTCTTTTTTAGCTTTTCTCTTGGTTTTTTTACTTGATGTCTTATTTTCCTCTAGTACCTTAAATATCTTTTATTTTTTCATTCGTCATGACAATGATACTCTTGGTCACACCACCTCCTTTTTTGGATAGGCTTTGCCAATCATATCGAAATAGCCCTGCTTTCATGAGGTAGATGCGAGTATAATTTGATGGATGATTAAGGGCACGAATGATAGAGGAGGAGATGAGATTGTGGATGATAGTAAAATCAAAACATCGAAGGTGGAGGAGACAAAGGGCAAGAGCATCATCATGGTAACAAAGGGAGAAATAGACATTGATGATATCGAGTGATATTAGGAAAAAAAAAATCATATAGAAAAACAGGAAAGGAGGGATATTATCGAGAAAAAAATAAAAAAAAGATTCTTTCAAAAACATCCTCGTTACTTATTTTTCAAAATTATCGACGATGATTTGATCTCAGTAGACATGATGTGATGGGATCCATACACCCTTATCATTTTCAAATGTGTGAGGCCGACAATTTTCGAGATGGTATTTGCTTATCCTACTCATCCCATGAATCATATACTAGGAATTAGGAAACATTATAGAAGATGGGTGGTGGACATATAAATCATGAATCATATACTCATCCCATGAATCATATATATATATATATATGTATATATAATTTTAGAGATTAGAACATTTTTTTATGCATGATTCCAAGCATAATGCTTGGGGTTTGGCAACCCAACCTACTAGCACTGGACATTATATTTATTAAAGGCAGTAGCTTAGAAAAATAAATGCAAGACATGCTTCCTGGCTTCTTCCACCAGCCAGCTTGTAATGGACTGGCAATGCCTTTGGAAAGCACCAAAAAGAAAAGAAAATTATTGTAGAAATCCTGACAATTCCCTCTCTCTCTCTCTCTCTCTCTCTCTCTCTCTCTCAAAAGAAGCATCCAGGAGGAGGAGGGATCCACCTCCACCCCTCCCACACCTCCATTCTCTCCGGTATGTACTCCTGGCTTTTTTGCACATTACCATCCCTAGTTTTCTCTGTATGCAGTCTTCTCGCCAGCATTTGAGCTCATTTTGAAGTTATAATATTGGAAGAAGCTTTTAGGCATTGATAGTGATGTTCACACTCTGCTTCCATTGACCACATTGCTCACTACTATTTGCTCATTTCACTTCTTAGCCCTCTCCTCCCTTATTTATTTGAACTCCTCTCAGGCATTCTCAGTATCCCTCTGCTGCATATTTGGACGGTAGTCGCCTACTGCAATCCGAAAGGGTCGCCTCCTCTCTGTGCCCTTAGTATTGCCGCTGCTGGGCGTTGTTAACTGAGGTCGTTTGCTTCTGCAACTGATTCAGTGTGTCATGGTTTGGAATCTGAAACCCACCCTCTCAGATTTGTGAGTTTGGTTCATGTTGTTCTTTCACTATAAGAAGAGGCATTGTTCATTCTTCAGTTGAGACTTTGAGTTCTTTGCTCCTTCCTTATGTAGCCGATCTGTTTTCCCGACTCTGGAAGCACCTGTATGATGTAAATCTCTCTTGGCCAAGCTTCCCGAGACATTTTTCACATCAAACCCTGGAATTTTCGCATCAGATCTTTGAACCACCTTAGTATTATTATGTAGATCCTGTGTCAGGAGAGAAAAAGGACTGTGGTGATCGTTTGCTGCTGAAACCATGTAAATTTAGCCCTCTTATATTTTTGTTGGTTCACATCTGCCACCTGGTGGGAGGTTTCGTTACCTGTTTCCTTTCCTCTTTGTTCGAAAATCACTTAAGAAAGATCATTCTTTCATCCGAGTCAAAATAAGCATGGAGGAAACTTTTGTGCCTTTTCGTGGGATCAAGAATGACCTTCAAGGAAGATTGAAGTGTTACAAGCAAGACTGGACTGGTGGTTTCCGGGCAGGCATCAGGTGATGACTGTATTATGCAAGATTATGTTGTTTCATAAACGATTCATGGTTAAAATCCTGTTTTCAATGTATTTGGTGAAGCTTTAGGCTTTAGATTGCATTCATCACTGATTTCAACGTTATATGTCCATGTTCATGAATTTCAGGATTCTGGCTCCAACTACTTATATATTCTTCGCATCTGCAATCCCAGTTATTTCATTTGGAGAGCAATTGGAAAGAAGTACTGGTAAGAGACTAAATTCTTCAACTGTTCTTTGTTCCTTTTTTTTTTTTTTCCTTTCCTTCTGAAGTTGTTACAGGTGAAATATCAAAAAAATTATATGATCATATATAGATCTCGTAGTCACCGGCTTTTAAAAACCAATACTGCATCTTGGTTCTGGCAGATGGTGTTCTGACAGCAGTGCAGACTTTAGCATCGACTGCACTGTGTGGAATTGTACACTCAATCATCGGAGGTCAACCTTTGCTGATTCTTGGAGTTGCAGAACCCACAGTACTTATGTACACGTTCATGTTTAACTTTGCCAAGGATAGGGCAGATTTGGGTCGAAACTTGTTTCTGGCATGGAGTGGATGGTAAGCAACTTTTGTTCTCAAGATTAAATGAATGCATAGGTTGTTTAAATTCTATGATCAGGCATCAGTGTTCTTGTTTAACATTACAGGGTGTGTGTCTGGACTTCCTTCTTGCTATTTTTACTGGCAATCTTAGGTGCATGTTCTATCATCAATCGATTTACTCGTTTAGCTGGAGAGCTTTTCGGTTTGCTGATAGCCATGCTCTTTATGCAACAGGCTATTAAGGTAAGAATTCGAAGATCTTGTACTATTGAAGTAGACCTAGTACTGGACATGCTAGGTAGTGTAATCTGCAGACTAGATACTAAATATACTATTTAGTGGTCCTAGTTTCACCAACTTTTTATCTTTCCTTATTTAAACAATAATGATAAGCAATACTTGATTTTCGTTATTTAAGATGAGGCAAAGAAATAAACCATATTGTTATACAAAGACCCTCTGTGAAAAAGAAAGATAATATTTAGATTAAAAAACAAATTCTGTAAGTCAAAGTTGTTTTGACATCCCTCCCTCATTCCCTCCCTCAATAAGTAGAAAAGGTTTCGGCATGAAACATCCATCAATAACATCGGCTATGCAATTTAAAATATTTTATGAAAGTATTGGCTCTGCATTTTTTCTGGTGTTTGATGACTTTAAGATGAAATTATAACCATTAGAAAACATTGTATGAGTACTTTTTATGCCAAGAATGTTCCCGTACAATAAGAATTTAATGTACTTTTGCTCTAGGGGCTTGTTGATGAGTTCCGCATACCCGAAAGAGAGAACCCAAAGGCGCTAGAATTCATTCCATCTTGGAGATTTGCTAATGGAATGTTTGCTCTGGTTCTGTCATTTGGCCTTCTATTCACCGCACTAAGAAGTAGGAAGGCACGATCGTGGCGCTATGGAACTGGTATGCATGACAATTGGACTAAATATTATATAGCTTGTTTTCTTCTTGTATGTGCAAGGAATCTTGCCTCTTGAGCGGCTGGAGTTGGCCTCATTTCCTAAGACATTTTGAACTTGCAGGTTGGTTAAGAGGCCTTATTGCAGATTATGGGGTGCCCCTCATGGTCCTTGTCTGGACAGGAGTATCTTATATGCCTACTAGTAGTGTTCCAAAAGGAATCCCTAGACGCCTTTTTAGCCCAAACCCTTGGTCACCTGGAGCATACGAGAATTGGACAGTGATCAAGGTATATATGTTTATTGCTTGTAGACAAACATGAATCAAGTGTTTACTGTCATTATTTATCATTTCCTGCATATTTATACTTGCAGGAGATGCTCAATGTGCCCTTTCTCTACATTCTTGGAGCTTTCATACCAGCTACAATGATAGCAGTCCTATATTATTTTGATCACAGTGTAGCATCTCAACTTTCTCAACAGAAGGAGTTTAATTTAAGAAAGCCAGCATCATTTCATTATGATCTACTGCTATTGGGCTTCTTGGTATATTGTCTCCACCACTTTCTATGTTGCTTCTATTTTCCATGTAAAGAAACACCATAGATCTCAGCTTCTTGCTTAAAAATTTATTTTTGCTTTTGGACTGCAGACTTTATTATGTGGTCTTATTGGAATTCCTCCATCTAATGGAGTCATCCCGCAGTCGCCAATGCACACAAAGAGTCTGGCCACTCTCAAACATCAAGTAAGCTGCAAAATTTCTGCAACTTCTTAGGAGTTTTTAAATTGTAATTTTATCTATTCATTGCCAACTTTCTTATAATTTAGTTCTCCTCAGCTTCTTCGAAGTCGACTGGTAGCCACTGCACGCCAAAGTATGAGCCAAAATTCAAGCTTGAGCCAACTGTATGGTAACATGCAAGACGCTTATCGGCAAATGCAGACCCCTTTAATTTACCAAGAGTCATCTGCTCGAGTATGAGAAGCCACACTTTGTTGCTATTGAGAGTGACCAGACCTGGATTGACCTATTGATTGCAATTAATTGATCATGCAGGGATTGATGGAGCTAAAAGACTCGACTGTCCAACTTGCTTCAAGTATGGGAAATTTTGATGCACCAGTTGATGAGACGGTATTTGATATCGAAAAGGAAATTGATGATCTTCTACCAGTTGAGGTTAAAGAGCAGCGTCTAAGCAATTTGCTTCAGGCTATGATGGTTGGAGGGTGCGTTGGAGCGTTGCCATTCCTCAGGAAAATCCCAACATCTGTTCTATGGGGATATTTTGCTTTCATGGCCATAGAAAGCTTACCAGGAAACCAGTTCTGGGAAAGGATTCTCCTGCTTTTCACTGCACCAAGTAGAAGATTCAAGTGAGTCTCTTGTTAGCACTGTTATTTACTCTCATTTAATGATATGCCTATTGCTGTTTTATATATTCTTAACAAATTTCTGTCTAACAGAGTGCTTGAAGAGCAACATGCAACCTTCGTCGAGACCGTGCCTTTCAAGACAATCACTTTCTTTACTCTCTTCCAGACAATTTACTTGCTTGTCTGCTTTGGAATAACATGGATTCCTATAGCTGGTGTCCTTTTTCCACTAATGATCATGCTTTTAGTACCCGTAAGACAATACTTTCTCCCAAAGCTCTTCAAAGGAGCACACCTTACTGATCTAGATGCAGCAGAGTATGAAGAATCACCACCCTTAGCATATAACCTGGCAGCGGTATGTTCATCGACTCATATTTTGATACTGATATATGTTTTTGGTTGTAGATTTCTGTACTTGACCATGCCACTTTTTCTTCGAGCAGGAGATCGACATTGCCAAGGGATGCTCCTTTGCAGAGAGTGGGGAGGTCCTGGATGACATAGTCACCAGAAGCCGAGGTGAGATTAAACATATGAATAGCCCCAAACTAACTAGTTCAAGCGGAACCCCAACAAACGACATAAGGGGTAAAACCAGTCCCTGGTTGTCAGACAAAGCCTACAGTCCTAGATTGAATGAACTGAGGCAGGATCATAGTCCTCGGCTTGGGGGACGAGGGCCAATCAGTCCGAGAACTGGAGAGGTTGGACCATCCAAACTCAGAGAAGGTGCTCGGGATTCCCCATCAAAGTAGTTCTGAGCAGGTTATATCAGTTTCCTAACATGTTCAGATAGATAATAACCGTGCCAAAGATAAAATCTGTTTCTATTTTATGTTCATTTCTTTGTGGCAGTTGTTGTAGCCTCAGAACTTTTAAGATCCTCCTACATGTCTACTTAAGATGAAAGCCTATTACCATCCATCCATTTTTTCTTTTTCTTTTTTTTCGCTTGGTTTGTTTGTATTTCTTGACATTTGAGTATGATATTATTGAAATCTACATTGGCCGGGAAACTTGAACCTGTATATTTATGGTGTTCAGTTCCTTATTTGAGGTGCAGACATGCAGAAAGCCCATGCCTATAGTGTAAATGCTAAATTCTGATATGATCAGCAGTATTTGAACTCGGATTCTGCCTGTGATTTAATCACTGCCTGTAATCAACCACATGAATGCAACATTGACGATCGCTCCAAGGTGTGTATTATGGTATCAACCATACGAAGGGGAGACGACAACCAGGTAATTTGATGTGTCCATGAGAGGATTGGAGTAGCTGCAACATGAAGTGTTGATTTATTATTATTATTATTTCATTATAAAGAGTTGGTGTCTTTTACACTCATTCAAGATTCTCTTGCTGATTTCACATGTTTGGTTGTGAGAAAGCAGTCAAAAGGGGTGCATGTTTCAAGGGAAGTGCTCGCTACTTTTGTTTTGTTCACATGCAGAGCTTTTTTGAGTGTTTTCTCTTCTGAAACAAAGGAGATCCAAGTTGAGAGAAAGATATCATTAATGAGTCGTGGCGTAGCATCATCTTGTTGAGAGAAAGATTGCATCTCAAAAGTTTTTAGGACTGTGTTAAATGTCACATAAAGGAATACTAAAAGCCTGAAGTCAACATCTAAAAATAAAGAAAAGAGAATGGAAAGAGCAACATCCAACCTAAAGAGGTTGAGCATCTTTTCAAAAAGCCAAAGTAGATTGGATTCTGCACATTCTCTTGCTACCATATAGATGATCATAGTGCACAAAGCCATGCTTCAAAGAATTACAAGTCTAATAGATCACATGATACTATTAATTTTAAGAAATCTGGGACTAGTTCTTCCATTCTGATATGATCTCAGCTATTGACAGACACTCCCAGATTGAGCTCCATCGGCAAAGAGCTCATGAACATCTGAAAGTTAGAAACTGACAGCAAATGCTGCTGCCACCAATGCAAGGATGTCTATAAATCCATCATGCACCAGCAACCAAAGTTTGTGAAAGCTAAGCAAGGCGACATGATAAGGAGTGCTGAAAAGTAATGGTTGTGGTTTCATTTCAGATGACGAAGAAAAAGAAAACCCTCTCTGGTTGTTCACCACAAATATTTATTCTTTTAAAATTGTCTCTGTGACAAAGAAACCACACAGCTTTCTTTCAAGAACCCCATTCTCCTATTTGCAATCGTTAAAAATTTGGACCTCTGAACAATGTACGCAAGGAGAACAGATTTCAATTCTTTGGTTGGCCTTGAGAACGAATAAATATTACAGTGGACCAGATGGAAAAAAAGCCTCAGCAACTCCCATACACTGTTGCAGGCAATGTTGCTTAGTTCACTGCCTTGACCACTCTGAAGGAGTCCATGACGTCTCGTAGATCCTTTTCTTCCTCAAGGAACACATTTTCAGGGGTCTGCAACCTCAACTCATACAGCTGGTTATTCTCAACACCAAGAACTGATAAGTAACGCCTGTCCCATTCAAGTCGTTGTATCCTGTCCTGTGGCATAACAGCCAACTCATTGTTGCTTGCATATGATTTAATGTTTACCTGCAATAGAAAGAAGGTAAGATATGGAGAGAGAAACGTCGCTTGACAGTGTATGGAGATTGATAATTGGCTAGGAAATATATTAAAAAAAAATCTTTAATCTTTTGAGGAAACTGAAGTTTAAACTTACTTCCAACATAGCAGTGACACATGATTTTGAGTTAAAGCAAGTAACCAAGGGCAAGAATGATGCTTATTGGAGGGGGATAACCCAATCAAATGATCCTAAATTAGATGCTCAGGATCCTTTTCATGTCTACCAGCCATTTTAATGCAATGAACTTCATGGCAAATTGTTTTAGTATTTAGTAGCGTAACCAAATGGAGCATAATTTCACTGGGATGTAAATCTACATGCAACTGTGTTAACACACTATGTAGTGCAAGCAGAAACACATGATCCTATTCAAGTTTGGGTTCATGTCTAGTTAGCAATTTCATCCTTAACCTACAAAAGATGATGATGCAATCCAATAATGATCAATACCAAGCATATATGTAGGTGGCACAGAGCTACTTGGCATTGAATTATCGAATATCTAGGACTTCAAACTCTTCAAGTACACAAGTGACCATAGGAAATGGTGACATCATGCTATTCTAAAATTACAAAAGCATTGAAATTAAAAGAAGACTAGGCAAGAAATTCTATGGGATGTTTATCCTAGTTTTAATATAAAATCAGAATCCCATCACCTAAAAGTTTAAAGCTTCTTTAATCTACAATCTAGTGGACCAGAACCTTGCAGATAAAGCTTATTAATTGATTTTAACCCTTTCCATTTGCCATGAACCCAACTGAAGGTTTCATGCAAGGGGTGGAAAACTTACCTCAACTTGATAGTAGAGCCTACCATCATCAGCAATCCTTGATGATGCTGATAGAATGTTTGATTCACGCCGAACTCCTAGTCTGGTAGACATGAATTCGGTTAAATACTGCTTGAGAACCTTATTGGCAGCCTCTTGCGGTGTCCCCAAATCTTTGACACTTTTATATCTTGAGGATGAAGGAGAAGACAACTCCACAGATAAATTCTCATCAAGAACAAAAGGGTCCCTGAAAAAAATGTCTGCTCCAGATCCTCTAACTTGGATCCAATTTTGTGGATAGAGAAATGTATAGCCATCAAATGTATCTATATACTCTCTGAATCCAACTGATGGCTCAGCTAAGGTATCTTCACATGATCCCAATTGTGAGAATACAAAACTCGACAACACAGAAGCCATGACATCCCTCCTGGTAACTGTGCACATTTTAGTTGACAAGAATAAGATATGCAGAAAAAATATAATGTTTGCAGGAAGGTGCAGATCATAGCATAAATAAAAGCATTTCATATCCTCAATCCAATGAATCATGTTACACTAAACTGCAATTTAGCATCTAACAACAGTTACTAATTCAATAAAACTAACCTAGAATGCTAGTGCAACTGGTACCAAGGTAAATGTTTTCATTTAATCATTAAAAGATCTGGCAGTATGCAGTCCACTGTGTCATCAATGGAAGCAATCCACTTACTTTTTGGTCCATAAGTCTACCAAGCAAATATTCATCCTGTATGCATAAGAATACTCATCATATTGTGGGTCCAAGTCATGGACAACTCCTCGTCAAATGAAGCCCTATGCCCCAAGAAGAAGAAAAGGACTAGAAGGAGACCCTATCAATAGAAAACCTCAACTTCAAGAAGTTATAATGCTCCAACTATTTATGACCTGCTATATGGATCTTGTTCCCCATTGAAGCAAACAAGAAATACAATGTTCCCCATTCAGTATGCATTCTTCTACCCCGAATACCCGCAATCCCCTATATTTGCATGCAAATTTAAAACAAAGGCTCTTTTCAACATCAAAATTACCCATTCTTTCTACATTAAAATTGAACATAAATGTTCAGGCTAAAGACTAGACCTTTATCTCCCTATTCGTTCCACTGGCTCCCCGAGAGCACATTTCTCCAAATGATTCCACATACATAATAATACCAGCTACTGAATCTAAAAACTCCAACTAGTTATAATTCCAACAAATTCAAAAAATCTTTTTGAGAGAATTCATATCAAATAAGTATCTATTGAGCCGAGCAAACAGATAGAAAATTTCGGACTTTGAACCCTAAATTACACTCTGGTTGCAGTCCTAATGCAATTAAGGTTTTCATCCGCATTGGCAAGGCAACAACGGGAAACTGCAAAACAATCGAGAGGGCGGGGTTACGTGCGGCGATGGAGCGGTGGCGGCAGGAGGGGCTGCTGCCGTTCTCGTTCCTCGTGCTCGTCGACGCCGAGACAGGAGGCACGGCCGACCGCCGGGTTCGGGAAGAAAGCCGAGGGGCAGAGATCGAACCCATCACGGCGATGGATGCGGCCATCGGGATGCGCGCAGAGAGAGAGAGAGGATAGGCTTCGTATTGTCGATTGGAGTGAGCTCGACGCCAACTCAACAACAAAATTTGGGCTGTCGAGCCCACTTCTACTTTGGGCCGTAATTAGTGGGCTACAGTCCAATTGAGTGCCATTGGGTTGGGCTGTTCCAAGTGGGAGGAATGTAAATTTACACAACTTATAATATCACGAATATTGAACTAATTGGTTTTATACATGTTATAATTTTTAGATTAATATGCATGATATAAATAACAGATATTTACACATTTTAAAGGGCATTATTGCATATTTAGTAATGCTAAGGGACCTAAGGACCTACTGGTCTAACTACATTAGGTTGACTTTAAAGCACCTGAAAAAAAAAAAAAAAACTTTATTTGTCCTGTTTATAACAATCATTGATGAAAATATTTTTCCTTCTAGAATGTCAATAACACACACAAAAAAAGGAACTTTTCCATAGTCATAGTCATATTAAAAATTATCCTTATATTAAAACCATTTTAATGTATAATTTAATAGTTGTGTTTTTGTGTTATATATACAAGAGTACATAATAAATAATATATCAAAATAGCCTCTTAATGCTATTAACATATCAATTATCACTGTCTAACACGAGGACACATGCAGATATTATTGCCGGGTAGGTTTAGATTACGGCCACTAACACACGCGTGATGGTTACCACTGCTGTTGACACGCAAAAGACTCGAAGCCTTTCCTCAGCTTTTCATCTCCATTTCTCCATCGACCCTCTCCGACTGGTCCGTCTACGTCCCTGTCATCGACTTGTCTTCCTCCACCATGGCCAGCGTTGACGAAACCATGCATGGGTGTATGTTAATCTGTATGAATACAAGTGTGCTGGCTGAGCCACCTACCTTTGCCGCGGCGGTGCCTACACACGACTCTGCGACTTCCCAGGCCGCAAGAGGACACCAGGAGAGTACTCTTCTTGCCGCATTTTTCCAAGACGTGCTGCTTGATCTGTCCACCTACCTACGACTTGTGGTCTTCCTCCCACCTTCCTCCGTCACCTCCGCGACCACAAGATCTCGTTAGAGCGTACAATGACTGCTGCCTTGTTTGAGGACTCCTCTCTTCTTCTTCTTCTTCTTCTTCTTCGTGCGTGCTACTACTTGTAAGCACAGCTTTGGTAGCTTCGCAGGTCAAAAGATTGGAGAGGAAAGAAGGAAGAGCAGACGGCGAATTGGAAAGAGGGACTGAAATAATGCTTAGGTCAATGAAGCATATCATCCACTTGAACATGTGACGTAAGTTAGCATGAAAAGGAGGCTTGTGGATCAGTGGTAGGATCCGGAAACCCCGGCCTCTCTTTTGACGGAATTTTGCTGCTGTCTCCTGCTATGGCATCAGAAGTCCAATCTCATGCACTTTCATGTTGTTTGAGCATACCACTTTGCATAGATCATTTACTGTTTCATTTAAGGAAGAAATTTTTACCTGCTGTAAGAGAAGCTGTGTTTGCCTTTACACCCACCAAGAGATGCTTTTTCTAGAAAGCTTGGACTAGATAACCTTTATCTTGTCATTAGGAATCATGGTTTGAAGGTATTCTCCTCTCTAACCCCACTTTTGGACTTTCTCCACCAAAGCTATAGTTTCATCAAAGAGGAAAAAGAGGAGTTCTTTGAGGTCTTGACTTGGAGCCATCAAGCTCGTGTTATTGACCAGGATTGAATCAAGATTAGAACCTTTCATGATTGAGTAAATTCTAATAAGGAAGCTTTCCATAAACAACTTGGGTGTCAAAGTCAATATTAAATTATAATTCCTTCTTTCTTCTTCTTTTTTATCTTAGGTTGCCGCCAGGCTTGATGAAATATGGTGGCCTCTTTCATCTCTGATACTTTTGCTTGGGGAATGAGTCGAGCAGCTTCATAAACTCTGTATGCAATGCCTGGCTTGATAAATGCAATCAACATTTATCACGATCAAACATTGTCTAACAGTACCCAATCATAAACCAAAGGTTTCGATTGGCTTACCCCTTCCTAAGCCATCTTTCCATGCTACTCCTTATCTTAGATAGGTCGTCCTTATCTCTTCTTTATGTTCTCTCTGTCACTTTTAGCTATCTATGCTTGACTCTGTGTCCCTTGCTGCACAATTTTATGCCCGCAATTCCCTCCCCATCTCTTTCAACATTACGTGATGACAACCATAAGAAGTCACTCAATTATTTCTATGCTCAACAAGTAAACAAGAAGAGTGTTTAAAATGGCAGCCGTACTACTGCTGTCTTGTGCAAATTTTGGGTAAGAAGGGGCCTTATCAGCAATGACGATCAAACATGGATTAGATTTCCGCCACATTTGAAGTAAAAACCCAATGTGATGTTTACAGTGACCAGCCTGAGAAGACAACAGAGGAAACAGAAGAAGCGGCCAAGAAAAGCTAAGTCAGACTTCAAAGCTCGCTGCTGCTACTTGGATTTCCATCACATGTCTCGTTTCCCACTTTGCATATAGAAAAAGCATTGCGTCCTTTTCATCGATCCACGTCGCCGTCCACCTCTTACTCATCTCTTTCTTCCAGTTTTCTACCTGTCAAACTTCCTATTTCCTACGTACCCATCACATAGAAGGATCCAAAGGCACATGAAATTGGGGGAGGAACAGGAACAGGGGTTTATAAAAGGCTGCTTACCTCTGCAACAGAAGCAGCACAAAGTGAGGAGGAGATGGAGGAGATCAGAAGAGGGCCTTGGACCACGGAAGAAGACCTTGTGCTCATCAAATACGTCGCCCAACATGGCGAGGGCAGATGGAACGCCCTCGCTCGCTGCGCAGGTACCTCGAACAGATCTACAGCGCTGCATGTTTCTTGTTGTCTTCTTCGTCGAGAGTACTTAAGTTGTCATCAAAAGAGCAATACTTGCTTCATGTCAATGGAGTGTTTTCTCTGCTGCACCAAAGATCAAATAGAACGGCAGGAAGAACACCTTTCTTGTACGTACTGATCAAATTTACGGGTCCTTATTCGGAGCAGGACTGAAACGAACGGGAAAGAGCTGCAGGCTTCGATGGCTCAACTATCTTCGTCCAGATGTCCGGCGCGGGAACATCACGCCGGAGGAGCAGCTCCTCATCCTCGACCTCCACTCTCGTTGGGGAAATCGGTAAGCACGCAAACCTAACACGTGCAACTCTAACAGCCTAAACATGCACAAAAGTCTGAAGTCTCAGTGTTATATATGTGCGACTGCTGATCCGGTGGCTCCAAGAACTCTTTCTTTGTTATCTTCTTCACTTATGGGGAATTAAAACCTTAGAATTTTCTTTTCTTGAACGAAAAAAGAACCAATTGATGGCAGTCTAAATCTGCTCGATCCTCTTATCATATGTTGTGTTCTGGCAGGTGGTCCAAAATAGCACAGTGTCTTCCGGGAAGGACTGATAACGAAATAAAGAACTACTGGAGGACCAGAGTGCAAAAACACGCAAAGCAGCTCCACTGCGACGTCAACAGCACGACGTTCAAAGACGCAATCCGGTACGTGTGGATGCCACGCCTCCTCGAACGAATCCGAGCGGCTTCCGGCGGCGCCGCTTTCTCTGCCTCCTGCACCAGCCCCGTCGCCACAGCCACAGCCGCCGCCGCCGCCGCCGCTGACCCTCCGCCTTCCCACCCGCTCAAGCAACCGGAGCGGGCGACGCTCGGCCCGGAAACAGTTGAGTCGTCGCTGTCGGAGGACTCGCTTCCGACTCCGTTCTCGTGCTTCGCCGACTGCCACTCCACCACCATGCAAGGTTGGGGTGGGTGGGAACCGGATTCCCTATCTCTTCCCGTATGTTGCGATGAACAAGGTGGATGGCCGTCAGGGGACTTGTTGAGCAGTGAGTCCTTGTGGAGCATGGAAGACGACTGGTTCATGCAACACCAGATTCAATCTTATCAACCCTATTGCTGATCTCTCCTTTGAAATAACTGTACTAGTTCGATCACAATTGTAACACAACCCTATAATTACTGATCCCATCATATTCTTCCGACAATTGTAGTGTTGCCAGCTGGAGAGAGCATATATGTCTAATTTGCAGGCAAAAAAGATCCACGAAGAAGGAGTAGGTGAGGTATAGTGCTATAAAAGCTAGCATACCACAGTGATGATTCGATAAGTCATATGTTTCATATGTTTGATGTGATGAAGCCAAGTGAGGAGAGGAGATAGATACTTGAACAATAAGAGCACGGCATCTGAGCGTCGGCTGTTGCTCGCTTTCGCAGATGTTACGAGAATTCACATATGAGCTTCTTAGTTTCCGTAATCCATTTGACAAAGCTACCAGAGAGTCATCTAACAATCATGATATTTTTTGCTTGTGGAAATTGCTATATGAATCCAAAACACTAGCCTTTGCAACTTCTCAAATACGCTTATGTTTTTCTTTTTTTTTACAAAGGATAAAGTGACGAAAATAAGATTAAAACCTAAAATATTATGATAAACTATCAAAGTATTTATCAACTAAACTAAGCGCACTTTGATCTTATAAAAATTTTATCGTAGTAGCATCAACGTATCTTCGAAATGAAAGTACTATTATCTTCGATCTACCAAATTTAGTAAGTGTTCAATGAGCATGCTGTTGGATCGATATGCCACATCAATGTTTTCTTACTAAATTAATTGTTACAAGAATAACATCATATATATATATATATATATATATATATATATATATATAAATATAATATGCAACAAGTATATTGCGGGTAAGTGAAATATAAAATATAAATATCTTATATTTTGGAACAGAAGTGGGACAAAGAATATGAGATATATATGTTTTTTATATTAAAAATATTTTTTTTTCTTATCCAAGTTTTCAATACTCAATCATCTATTGTCTTTCCCATGTGATAATATTCGAAAAACAAATTACATCGAATCAATTTCATCAAATCAAATTTGTGAGCAAATATAGTGTAATTATGACCATAAAATATATAAATTGCTTTCAAGATAGTGGCGTTCTTCACAAAGGTTTGACGAATGCTTGGTCGAAAGAACCATGTTTGACAAATGGCAGCGTGCGCAACAAGGAAAAAGTCAGCAGTCTAGTGGACACGAGATGGGTCGCTCACTGTGGAAAATTGTTGACCGACGACTATTGTCCTTTTAGAGGGGAAAAAAAAGGAAGGAGATCATAACGAGACTGGTGGAGAAATGTAGACAGGAGGCAGTCCACCGACCCTGCTGCTTTCCTTCTCGACGAGTTGGTCTTTCCCGTTCTCTCTCCGACGTTTCCACACAGCTGTCCATTTTGGAAGTCTTCGCCGGCCGGCAGCGTGCCGTGGGTGTCGAGAGTCTACTCGTTCGGTCACCCGGCCGGACCACTGCATATTCAATCTATGTATTGTAGTCGTAATATGTTTGACTCGACATATTTTCTATGTATTGTAGTCGTCATATGTTTGACTCAGAAATATGTGTATTAGAGATTGAGAATTTGTAATCTCATTTGATATATTTGAAAGTATTAACAAACTTAGTTGATAAATATTTTTGATAGTATACCATAATATTACTATTATATACTTTTGTGCCATGGCTCTAGGATTAATACGGTGGTCCTGTTATAAAAAAAAAAAGGATCATTCAGGTGAATTCCTACGGCAAGGAGGCAAGATGAATGAGGTCGGATTAGGGACTAACTCTTAGGCCGGTATGTGTTTATGACGTTGACCCGAGGTGGGATTGATCATCTCTCCTACATCGCGTTCTTGCATGATTGGTCGAAGTCGGGAGGGGGATTCCTGACTCGACTCCTCCAATGATTAAATTAGCAAGTTATTTTTGTGATGAAAAGACTTTGATTCTCTATTCTGGGCTGGGGTTCGAAATTTATACTTATGGAGGTTACTTGAAAGTATATGGGCCATTAATGCTCATTGTAGTTCTGTTCGACACGGTCGAACAAGTGATTGATCCGTACGCTCATGACGGCATGGGTCATCCCATCCAGACGTCGACTATGTAGCACCATCCCGTATGGTTCCGAATGGTGAGAGGTTGATCATGCATGATCTATCATGTTGGCTTCACTCCCTACGGGACATTTGTTGGGTCATCCCACGTCGGATCCTTGGTGGTCATCTGATATCGCTCTGTGACTGATGTAGGAATATCTACTATCAACCACTCTCTTTCAATTGAATTAATATATAATCTCATGCATTTTAGTCCACACAAACTTTGGATCATCTAATTTAAAATCAGTAAATTTCATTCAAACCAAATTTATGGGTTTTTCAGATAATACCTTTTCTTTTCATATTGCCTCTCCCTTTATAAATTGACCAAAATATCTTTTACTATAAAAAATAATTTTCTATCAAAATTCAGTTGGGTTAAAGTGATTTTTTGAGTTAGATCGGTTTAACAGTAAGTCAAATTGATTATAGTTTTTTTTAATATAGAACCATAATATTATGATTCAGATCATTTTTTGATATAATAGCAAAAATATTTTAAAAATAAATTTCCTTTAAAATTCAATTGGATTAAAGTGATTTTTGAGTCAGATCGATCTAATACTAAATGAAATCGATTGTAGCATTTTTAATAGAATCACAATCTTGTAATTCACATCATTTTTTATATAATAAAAAATTATTTTAATCATTTTGTAAAAAGAGTCACGGTAAAATGGAAAACTCATAAACATAAGATTTCCACCCCCCCTTTGAATGAAATACTATATTTTCTTTTCAATTAATTTGACTTAGAGTGTTAAGAAATGATTCATAGGTAGTTATCCAGATAGTTATTATGTTGTAGATAGTTATATGTATGTTCAAAGTAATGACCTATGATCTAGGAGCTATGGGGGTAGTGCCTACACTTAATCATGGGTGACATGACGGAGTGAGGTAGTTATCACTATATCTTATAAATAGGACCATAGTTCTTGAGGTAAGGTAGTGTATATTTAGGAATATCATATAAGTGTTCTAAGTCTACCTCTTATTTTAATACTACTTTGATTTTTTTGATTGAAAGTGTTAGTGTAAACAACTTTATGCCGTGGCCTCGGGGCCAACACGGCTTGGTTCGGGTCCGAATAGGTGGGGATCTTGTACGGCGTTCTTCGAGCTCGTTGAGGAGGTTAGGTGCGGTGTCCGATCGGGACGGTGTAACCGTCTCTTCCGGGCAGGAACTCCTCGCTTGTGCGTTCGATATGCTCTCAGTGTTATAAGAGGAATATCCTATGTATTCTTGCTCAGATAAATCTCTGGTCATGGTCATTCAGATTAAGAGAGAAAGAGTTCACCGGGAGAATCCGATTAGAGCAAGACTCGAGTAAAAACTGTATAAGCCTGATAGTACCATACCCGATATACGATTTCTAGAGTATTAGATGAATGAGGGACTATCGATATACGGTAAATGAAGACAGATAAGTCCAAAGGATTGGATTCCCCTCTATCGTTTGGGGACTGCGGCGTTGTGACATAGTATGTCCACAATCGATGAGTCCAGTAAATTATTATGGATATAATAATTCACTGAACAAGAAGGAGTTCTGACATGTATGACTCACGGCTAGCTCGATATTACGATGAGTAGAGGTTCAGATATGAGATATTCGTTGGAGCCCCTATCTTATTGGATATTCAATAAGCCAATGAATTATTGGATCATATGGATATGATCCAATAAGAGCCAATAAGATATTATTGAGAAGAAACCCACTAATCTAAGAGGCTTGAGTAGTTGGATGGAGATCCAGTACCAAATATGACATGATCCATTAGGGTTAAGTTGACAGAGGGGGCCTCTATAAATATGAGGGAACCAAAGATCGATACGCTCCTCTTATTCTCATCTCTCCCTCTCCTCCTCATATTGCAGCCTCTATTGGGGCCTGTGAACAGTAAGAAAAGCCCCCCCCCCCTATTTAAATGTTACTTTGATAGAGACAACACAATCGTTTGAAACAATCGGTTGGAAGAACATCATAAGAGGCCATTAGGATGTACTGTAGGAATAATACCAGTCTTTCTATTGCTGCTTCAATTATCTTAACCATCCTAAGATGCTAGGCTCAAGTTGAAGATGTACTTTATCAGCTCGCAAAGTCTTGATTGAAGCGCCCATAATTGGAGTGTTTCATACGAATCGAGTGCCACTCTTTTGCGTGTATTGTAAGAACATATCTCCTTTGAGATTGCTCTGTTTACTGATGTATTATGAGTGTCCAAAGGAAACAAATCTCTGCTGGATGTTTCAATATTGTGATGATTGCAGTATTTGCGAGAGAAGCAACATAGATGGTTTGTATAGAGAAGGAAATTAAGCTTCTGATAGAGAATGAGAATGCAGCAAAGAGGTGACACTGCATTCATCTTACAGCACCTAACAGGGCATAAGAAAGAGACGACAGCCACAACAGATGACCTTGTCGGGTGCAAGCTAACTTTGCTAGATAGGAGAGCAGGTAAGCTGAGAAGAAGATGCACCATCCCCACGGCTACCTTCTCTTATTCTACTTCCCACACCACCCAAACCCTAGTCGTGGGGGTGGGCAGATCAGTTCTGGGAAACCGCCTGCGAAGATTGGTCCGGCGGAGGCGCCACCTTCGCCTGCTTCCTCCCTTCCCCCTCGATGTCGAAGGCGGAGGCGGGGAAGGTCCTGAAGAGCCCGGCCGGGGTCTTGAAGGTGAGCTTCCCGGCGGGCGGGCCGTCGGCGGAGATCTCGTCCAGGGTGATCCACACCAGCAGCTCCTTGGCCTTCACCCCCGTCAGCTTCTTGATCTTGGACTTCTCCACCACGGCGGTGATCTCGGGGGAGTACGACACCCGCTTCCCTATCTTCTCGAAGCAGTGCTCCACCTTCTGCTTCTGCTTCAGCCACACGAAGCCGGTTTCCTCCACGTACCCGCACTCGACGATGTCCCTCAGGGGGAGCAGACCGCGGGGGAGGCCCACCTCCTGCAGTAGGAACTTGGACTTCTCCTGGCAGATCT